AAATCAGCTGGCACACAGGAGCTGGTGTGCCAGGCAACATGGCTCCGCATGCCACCTGTGGCATCCGTGCCATAGGTTCGCCATCCCGGATCTAGTCCTTTGCCTGTAGATTCAGAGGCAGTGAATCAAACACTGATGTCATTTCCAGTCCCTCCCTGGCCCACACTGATTCCTCTTTGGCCAAAATGGATGCCAAGAAGAAGGGAAAATTCCCTCAGTTTAAGCATCTTGCAACCCATCAATGTTCTCATGACTAATGGGAAGATTATGGTCCAGGGATTTGTCGTCATTGCTGCATCAGGGTTCAACCCATCCAAGACTGTGTTGCTGTGGTTTCCGACGTCCCGATATAGTCAGTTGGTGCCATCACTGACTATTGGGGGTGAATCGCTGACCCCCACGGAGAGGGCTCGCAACTTGGGCGTCCTCCTGGATTCACGTCTGTCTTTAGAAGAGCACTTGACGGCCGTGACCGGGAGGATTTTTCATCAGGTTCACCTGATTCGCCAGTTGCGTCCCTTTCTGGATCGGGACTCCTTACGCACGGTCACTCATGCCCTCGTCACCTCCCGCCTGGACTATTGTAACGCTCTCTACATGAGGCTCCCCTTGAGGAGTACCTGGAAGCTCCAACTGGGGCAGAGTGCGGCCGCGCAGGTGGTAATGGGAGCGACATGGAGTTCCCATGTAACACCTCTCCTGCGCAAGCTGCACTGGCTCCCGGTGGTCTTCCGGGTGCGCTTCAAGGTTTTGGTTACCACCTTTAAAGCGCTCCATGGCTCAGGACCTGGGTACTTGTGGGACTGCCTACTACCACTAATAGCCTCCCACTGGCCGGGACGCTCTCATAGAGAGGGGCTCCTCCAGGTGCTGTCGGCCAAACAATGTCGACTGGCAGCCCCCAGGGGGAGAGCCTTCTCTGTGGGGGCACCTACTATCTGGAACGAGCTCCCCCCGGAGGTACGGAGGATCCCGGATCTGCGCACCTTCCGCTGTGCTCTAAAGACCTTTTTATTTCACCACGCGGGCCTGGCCTCACTTTCTCCCTCTTTTTAAACATTTTTAATATTTTTTAATATTTTTTGTATTTTTAATATTCAAAGTTTAAATTGTTTAAATTGATTGGGATTTTAAATCTGTCTGGGCCAAACTATTTAATTCGATTTTATATCTGTCTTTTAAATTTTGTATGTATGTATTTTATTGTTGGCTGTTCACCGCCCTGAGTCCTTCGGGAGTAGGGCGGTATATAAATCAAATAAAAGTAAAAGTAAAGTAAAGTAAGGGTTGTGTTTGACCTCAGGGAGCCAGGGTGGGCGTGGCCAGGGTGGGTATTGCCAGCTCAACGTCATTCATGTTGGGGGCACTTTTTTTTTTTTTAATTTGATTTATATGCCGCTCTTCTCCGGAGACTCAGGGAAGCTTACAATGCGTTAAGCAATAGCCTTCATACTTTTGTATATTTATACAAAGTCATCTTATTGCCCCCATAATCTGAGTCCTCATTTTACCTACCTTAGAAAGGATGGAAGGCTGAGTCAACTTTGAGCCTGGCAAGATTCGAACTTGCAGTAATTGCAGGCAGCAGATGTAAGTGAATGTTAATTAGTCTGCTGAGCCACCAGAGCTCCTTGTGGTGGTCGAAGCGCTCTGCCAGCGAAAACAGGCTCCCAAGCTCTGTTTTCAACTGTGACAGCTTCCGGCAAACCTCTGCCAGCAAAAACAGAGCTTGGGAGGGCCACACGAGCTTTGTTTTCACCTGCAACAGCTCCTGAAACCTTTTGCCAGTGAAAACGGAGCTCAGGAGGGTGGCCTGCTGGCAGAGGCACCGCAGGCCGGTCCTATGCTGTTTCCAGGGCGGCACCATGGGCCAAATCTAACCACCCCATGGGGCCGCTCTGGCTCCTGGGCCTTGAGTTTGACACCCCTGACCTATTGAGTTCATTTACCTATGAATATCTATTGTTAAATCATCTGTTCTTTGTGCATTGGCCTCGCCCAGCTTTTTGAGATATATAAATATGAGTGCATCTCTTTATGGAATGGGATCTCTCTCAATATTTTTTGGGAAGGAGTCCCACCAGCATGGGCTCCTTAATAAACATCACAGTAAGCCTTCCTTATTTCCTTTGGGTCCTGTGATTGATTCATTGAAAATGTGGATGTTAAACAGATTATTTTCTCCAAAGTGTGGGGTGGGGTTGTTGTTGTTGTTGTTTTTTTTGCCAGAAACAGGAATAATAATAATAATAATAATAATAATAATAATAATAATAATAATAATAATAATAATAATAATAATAATAATAATAATAATAATAATTTTATTTCTATACCGCCCTTCTCCCGAAGGACTCAGGGCGGTGTACAGCCAATTTAAAAACACAAGACACAACAATAATTAAAAATTAAAATAATTAAATAGATTTGGCCGATTTAAAACCCCAAAAATTTAAAATACCCCAATTTAAAATTATCATGTCGATAGCCCGGCCTGGCGGAACAACAGGGTCTTCAATGCGCAACGAAACACCCGGAGGTCGGAGATCTTGCGTATTTCCGGGGGCAGTTCATTCCACAGGGCTGGGGCTCCGACAGAGAAGGCCCTCCCCCTGGGTGTCGCCAGCCGACATAACTTGGCTGATGGCACCCTGAGGAGACCCTCTCTGTGGGAGCGGACTGGTCGGTGGGAGGCTATTGGTGGCAGAAGACGGTCTCGAAGGTACCCGGGTCCTATGCCATGGAGCGCTTTAAAGGTGGTAACCAACACCTTGAATTGCACCCGGAAGACCACTGGGAGCCAGTGCAGCTCGCGCAGGAGGGGTGTCACGCGGGCACAACGAGTTGCGCCCATAACCACCCGCGCGGCCGCATTCTGGACCAGTTGGAGCCTCCGAGTGCTCTTCAAGGGGAGCCCCATGTAGAGAGCATTACAATAGTCCAGCCGGGAGGTGACAAGGGCATGAGTGACCGTGCGCAAGGCGTCCCGGTCCAGAAAGGGCTGCAACTGACGGATCAGGCGAACCTGATAAAAGGCCCCCCTGGCCACGGCCGTCATATGCTCTTCTAAAGACAGCCGTGCGTCCAGGAGGACACCCAGATTGCGAGCCCTCTCTGTGGGGGGCAAAGATTCACCCCCAATAGTCAGCGATGGCACCTGCTGACTATATCGGGACGCCGGCAGCCACAGCCACTCGGTCTTGGATGGGTTGAGTCTGAGCCTGTTCCTCCCCATCCAGACCCGCACGGCCTCCAGGCAGCGAGACATCACATCAAGGGCATCGTTGGGGTGGTCTGGGGTGGAGATGTACAGCTGAGTATCATCAGCGTACAGATGACACTTCACCCCAAAACCATGGATGATCTCACCCAGTGGCTTCACATAAATGTTGAACAGAAGGGGCGAGAGGACCGACCCTTGTGGCACTCCCCATGCGAGATGCCTCGAGGTCGACCTCTGCCCCCCTGCCAACACGAACTGCGAGCGGTTGGAGAGGAAGGAGGAGAACCACCGCAGAACGGTGCCCCCTATTCCTAACCCTCTTAACCGCCGCAGCATGATACCATGGTCGATGGTATCAAAAGCCGCTGAGAGATCTAATAGGACTAGGACAGAGGAGCAACCCCTGTCCCGAGCCCTCCAGAGATCATCCACCAACGCGACCAATGCCGTTTCTGTGCTGTGCCCCTGCCTGAAGCCCGACTGGCACGGGTCTAGATAGATAGCTTCATCCAGGTGCCCAGGCAGTTGTCGTGCCACCACACTCTCAACAACCTTCGCCACAAAACGAAGGTTGGAGACCGGACGGTAGTTAGCTAATTCAGCCGGGTCCAGGGAAGGCTTCTTGAGGAGGGGCCTCACCACCGCCTCTTTCAAGGCGGCGGGAAAGGCACCCTCACTCAAAGAAGCAGTTATAATCCCCTGGAGCCAGCCTCGTGCAACCTCCCGGGAGGCCAGTACCAACCAGGAGGGACACGGGTCCAATAAACATGTGGCGGCACTAATCCTATCCAGAACCCTGTCCACATCCTCGGGAGCCACAGGATCAAACCCCTCCCAGATAATATTCTCAAGGCCTGCCCCTGTCTCCTCCCCTGGACTCATCCAATCGGAGTCCAAGCCATCCCGAATACGAGCGACTTTATCATGCAGGAATTGCACAAAATCCTCAGCGCGGCCCTGCAAGGGATCTTCCCGCACTCCCCCCCGAAGAAGGGAGTGGGTCACCCTAAACAGGGCGGCTGGGCGGTTCTCTGCAGATGCGATAAGAGCGGAGAAATGGTTAGATTTCGCCGCTTTTATCGCCACTAGGTAGGTCTTGATATAAGACCTCACCTGTGTCCGGTCGGAATCGGATTGACTAGTCCTCCAAATGCTCTCTAGGCGTCTTTTCCAACGCTTCATCTCTCTCAGCTCCTCAGAGAACCAAGGAGCTAATTGAGATCGGCATCGGGTCAGAGGCCGCAAAGGCATGACGCGGTCCAAAGCTCCGGCGGCCGCACTCTCCCAGGCGGCCACCAGCTCTTCGGTCGAGTCGTGTGCCAGAGTCTCAGGAAATGGCCCAAGCTCCATCATGAACCTTTCGGGGTCCATCAGGCGCCTGGGACGGAACCATTTGGTCGGTTCCGTCTCCCTGCGGTGGGGGAAAGCGGTAGGAAAGTCTAAGTGAAGGAGCGAATGATCTGTCCATGACAAGGGTTTGATGTCTAGGTCCCCTCTACCAAGATCATTCAACCACTGACCAGAGACAAAAATCAGGTCCAGAGTGTGTCCCCCTATGTGAGTTGGGCCTTGAACTAACTGGGTCAGGTCCATGGCCGTCATGGAAGCCATGAACTCCCGGGCCGCCTCTGACGCCTCACCCGCAGACGGAAGTAAATGCCAGAAACTGAGTTCATGATACCAGTGGAATTTCACCCAAAATCACATTGGAAGAGTAAACTGGAGTTCAGTACTTTATTTCTGCACAGAAGTAAAGATGGATGCTTCTGACATTGCAAGTTGTTTTTATTTTTTTAAAACCACATATACACATCAGAATTTCTTGAAATTTCATCACTTCTATCTGACTTTATTTACTCGTTACATTTTATGCAGTCCATCTCCCATACAAGTTGACTCTGGGTGGCTTACAGGTTATAAAACCATAAAAAAATAGTTTAAAAAGATTAAAACAACACAGAATTAGAATATTATTAAAAACTATACTAAAACCATACTAAGAGAGCTAAGGGATGGATGGGATGGAGATGAAGTCTTCTTACCCCCATCAGACAGTGCCTCATATATAATAATTTAATTTCTATTTTATTTTGACATCAAATGTTCCTTTGTATTCAGATCAGGTCTTAAGAAAATAATGTAAGATTTGGGAATAAAAATGAAGGCTAACAGGCTAGCACTGGAGGCCAAGATGGAGAAGATCTGCACAGCCACCATATACTTCCCCTTGGTGCTAAGATAGGTGGGTACAAAGGAAACCCAGACACTGCAGAAGACCAGCATGCTGAAGGTGATGAGCTTGGCTTCATTGAAAGCTCCAGGTAGATTCCTGGCAAAGAAAGCCACCATGAAGCAGATGACAGCAAGGAAGCCCATGTAGCCCAGAGCAAGGTAAAACATGGCAACAGAACCTTCATTACATTGAAGAATGATCTCCCCGGACTGCGAGTATGTGTCCAAATCAGGAAATGGGGGTGAAATGCCCAGCCAGATGCTGCAGACAACAACTTGGACACCTGAACAAGAAAAGATGATGGAGTTGGCCAGGCTCTTCCCCAGCCATCTCTGCACTTTACTCCCAGGTTTTGTGGCCAAGAAGGCTAACACCACAGTGACTGTTTTGGCTAAGACAGTAGAAATGGCAAGTGAGAAGATATTGCTGAAGGCGGGTTGTCGGAGAAGACAGGTGGCTCTCATTGGCCGGCCAATGAACAGGAAGGAGGTCAAGAAACAAAGCAGGATGGTGATGAGGAGGATGTAGGAGAGATCCCGGTTGTTGGCTTTGACTATGGGAGTTTCTTGGAATTTCATGAAGATTCCCAAGACTAATCCTGTTACCAAAGATAGGAATAAGGCAAGAGAAACTAGGATGATCCCCAAATTTTCTTGATAGGAAAGGAAAGTTTCAACCTTAGATATACATTTATCTCTGTTGATGTTTGGATACTGACTTGCTGGACATTTTGTACATTTTTCAGCATCTGAAAAGAGTGAGATTAACATGAATTGTAAAGCATGTTCTTCCATTAGACGTATACATGGAGTCCTCAATTTAGGATCACAGCTGGGACTAGAATTTCCATTACTAAGCTTGGCAGTTGTTAGGATTAAGATTAACATCTACTGCACAGCATGTTTTTCAATCACATCCATTTTTGGAGAGAAGCTGGTGATGGGGTAAATGAATAGGGGTGGAGAAAAGCAGAATACAGCAATGATTTGGGAAGTTTAAGCAGTACAACAAGGAATAAAAAGTGCCAAAGGCAAATGACATTGCATCTCACACATTCCCAGGATGAGCTATGACTGCTTTCAGAGGCTGCATTTTTGGCAAGGAAGACATTTCACAACTAATTTCACTTCTGATTGTAGATTGTCAGATCTTTTCTCTGGACAGCAGTTCTCCTGACTGGTAGAATCCCCTGTTTATTTAGGCTCCCACCCATGCCAGGAGGGAGGGAGGGAGGAAAGAAAGAAAGGAAATAAGGCAGGTGGAAGGAAGGAAGGAAGGAAGGAAGGAAGGAAGGAAGGAAGGAAGGAAGGAAGGAAGGAAGGAAGGAAGGAAGATCCAGTGTTGGACGTAAAATAAATGTCCTGTTAAATAAATGTCCAGCATTTTAGTCATGCATTATTAGATGGAAAGGGAAAGGAAGGGAAGTGGAAGGAAGGATCAGAAATTCTCAGTTTTTCCAGAAATGCGAAGAAAAATTGATAGAGATTAACCAATAAAGAAAATGAAAAGCAAGAAATACTTTTTAAAAAGTATTTTTAAAAGCCATCATTGATCCCCTGTTTTTTAATAACTTGCTCCCAATTTAAATTCCAAGATTATTTCTTATCACTCATGTAATAAATTATGCATATGAAAAGATTTCTTTTTCTTTTTCAAAAAACTCTTGTATGAACAATATCAGGATCTATGGTCTTTCCAAATGTCTGCCTCTTTTCTCTGGGGTCACTCACCTTCCATGGTGGAGATGGTTCCTTCTGCACAAGGATGACAGTCATAGCAGCAGATGGGCCTCCCTTCCTGTGGCACCTTCATGGATCCAGGAGGGCAGCTTTCCACACACCTGGAAGGAGGCAGGGGCTGAGGAGAGAGAGGAAGAAAATCTAGAATATAAAGTTATTTTCAGAACAGTGTCAAGGAAAGAAGGATTTGCTGATCTCCAGTGCAAGGATTAGCTTTGACTAATTAGAAACCAATAGGAATTCTGAAATTCATCAAACACATGATTGAGTATTCCATCCCTATTTCTCTTTCCTTCTGATGTTTCATACACGCCACAGATTTAGCCTTTCAAATTACATTTAAACGTTAGATTTATCAGGGAAATGTTGGATGGACTCTTTTTCATGGCCAGCTGAATAAGAAGTTTGCATTCTTGACAGCCTGATCAGCTTACATGAAAACTCAAAGCAAGCCCCCTCCCACCCCAATAGTCTAATCCTGTTGTTGTACTTTCAGTGGAACAAAAATAAATATCAGTCCCACCTTATTCAGCATTTCCAACTGTGTGATACTCTTCTGGTCAATGGAAAATTTCAAATCCTGGGATGTCAGTTTTTCTAGACTCCCAGATTTAATTCTCTTGACAGATTTGTTTGGGAAAACGACCCAGTTCACAATGTCCAGGTCAGCTGTCAGATCTCCCTTTTCATCCAAATATATCCCAGCTATGGAATTATTGTGAAACTGAGAGTCTTGAAGGAAGGAATGAAGCTGAAATACAAAGGAAAAGAAGAACTTAGAAAGGACATTAGACATTCTTTGAAAATACCTTTGGTCTATGTTGGGAAGGATCCTAATATTTCTCTCTCTGTCTTCAACTACCAGGTTCTATTTTATTTCCAACTTGTTCAGGAAAGTGTCAATAAACATAGGAATAATAATAGCTATAAACTAGAGCAATGGTTGTAAAGGTCAGAAGTCTTGGCATCTGGTCACGTTCCTCTTCCCAGTGTTTTATCACAGAAATGATAATATACAATTCCACTAAAGGCAAACAAACAATTATTTCTTCATTGCTTCATTCGTATTAACCTAAAATTAATCTACAAATATTAAAATGAAAAGCATATTTCAGCCATACAGCTTTTCCTTTAACCTGAGACTTATTTTGTAATTTTTTGCATGTTTTATATCATCACTTGCCCAGTTGGGTTGGGGAGTTACACATTTCCTACTTTCCCATATTGTTCTCTGGTGAAGACGAGTGACTTATCATGGGATTGATCACTGATAATTCAAAGATATCAATCCACATCATCTTTCTTTTTGCTGAAACTTTCCTTTCCAAGGTTGGAGAAAATTACCTGCATGTCTCCAACAGTCTAATGTGTGATATCACACTCTTTTCCTTTTTTATTGCATATAAAAGTGTGAGATAAAAGGATGGATGAACAATTAAGATATCAATGTATTCACTTTGAAAGACATAAAAATAAAACAGGAAACTATTGCCAAAACAAGGATCAAAGGGAATGGAAAGGAAAGTGAAGGAAATGGAAGGTTCAAATTAAATTGGAATTGACTTTCAAGAGCCTGAGTGGCGTAGGAGGCTAATGCCTCCTACTAAGGCAGCATTTAACATCCAGCTGCCGGCAATTATTGCGAGTTCAATTCTCACCAGGCTCAAGGTTGACTCAGCCTTCCATCCTTTCTAAGGTAGCTGAAATGAGGACCCAGATTGTGGGGGCAATAAGCTGACTTTATATAAAATATACAAAAGTATGAAGGCTATTGCTTAACGCATTGTAAGCCGCCCTGAGTCTCCGGAGAAGGGCAGCATATAAATATAAATTAAAAAAATATTTTTTTAAAAAAAAAAAAGATAATTTGATTTTTCAGAATAAGTAACCAAGGCATTCACTTCAACAACTGATTCCCACAGGCAGGAAAAACATGTCTAATGGAAAGGAAATACCTGCCATGCCTTCACTCTTGGAGTTTCCACCTTCACCCCCCTGTTCCTCACTGATCTCTTGAATGTGGATACATGAACTGAATTTAAGGAACTTCCCAAAGCCCAGATGGTGTTGGAAATGAGGTAGCTGTCCAGAGCCAGGATCTCGTCGATCTCCTCTTTCCTCAGAGACTCCAGTTCTTCTCTCTGTCTGCACCGTCTCCAAACTTTCACTGAAAAGGCATCCTTAGTGGATGAGCATGTAAACGTTTTCTCCAAAAAGTTAATTATGGATGTGACAATGATCTCAAAATCATCATACCTTGCCCATTTGCTTTTCTTTATCAGAAAGGAAAAAATGCCAGCGAGGTGTTTCAGGGAATGGACACTAAACATAAAATCAAGGCTGAGATCCCACTGAGCTGTTGTGATCCAGACTTTATCTACAACATGCTTCTGAATGAGTTGAAGGCCACCTTGTATAATTATCATTCCTGTTGTGAATGAATTAGTCTCTGAACCATAAACAAAGACATTGACTTTTCTCCACTTATAATATTCATGTAACTTTATATTCATTTCAGCAACATTTAGTGTAAAACTTTGATATAGAACTGCACAAATGCCATTGCTTAACATCAAAGAAGGCATTGTCCTCATGAAACTCTCCCCCTGGTCAGTTTTTGGAGCAACAAGACCAACCAAGGTCCATCTGAAATGAAGTAGCAGTTGGACAATCCCTGGATACTGGGCTCCTTCAGCAGGGAGCATCGGGTAGAAGAAAGGAAATTGAGTTTTATCCCTCAGAATCTGGGAAGCAAAACTATAACTGATCTGAAAGGAATGGAAGACAGTGGAACTTTAAATGAAAAAAGCAAAATGTATTTCCTCTCATTTCCCTAATAAATCTTTGCTGTTCATTTACAGCAAAGGAGCTCTTATTGAAAGTTTCATGATTGCAAAGAAAAATCATTCAATGATTCCAAAAGAGACACACCTGTGGGATTTTGTAAGTGCCCAACATGGTAGAAATCTGGATGGAGATGCCAGTCTCAGCTTCTTCCAGAACAGCTACTGTGTTTCTCTGCCTCCCACACTTGTAGTTGGGGACATTAGCCTCCCCATCTGAAAGCAGGTCCAGCAAAGCCTCTGAAGTTATCTCTGCCTTGAAGAAATTTTCATAGATATTATAACCCAGGGTAATGTTCGGTAAGAGATGGCTATTCTGGTTGACATCCTCGATGGCAAATAGGAAAGGTGCAAATTTCCAATAAAATTTGGGTGTCTTTCTGCAGGTACAAACACATTGATGAAAATACCATTTAACTTTTCCCCCATGGTAACGTTTTTCATCCAATCAATCAATTGTTCCAAAAAATTTGCAATGTTCCAAAACATTACCATAGAAAAAGAAGAAACCGTAGAAAATTACAGATCATGCAGTATTTCAAAATCACTCTCCTACTTGGTTAAACTAACACCACTTCAATTTCATGTTTTGGTTTTCAAGTATTTATTTCATATTTAATGGACTGTTATCTCTGTCTTAATAAACGTGGTTGAAATGCTCTCATGGCTAAAAAGACCTATTTACTATTAGCTGTAGTATATTCTAATTATAAATATTTTTGAAGTCAGATCAACAGTTTAGAAGAACTGCGAATGGCTCCTCCATGGATGACATTCAGAAGTTCGTAAAGACCAGGTTAGTCTCCCCATACACCTGTATGGCAGAGTGAAGTTTGAACTTCTAGTGAATGAACCATTGTTGTGGATTTGTTGTTGTTTCAGGGACATGTTTATTTCTATTTTTCTTTTAATTATAAACCACCCAGAGTCACACAGCCTATGAATTGCATAACTAAATAAGCAAATCCACCAACCAACCAATATAATATTAAAAAAAGATTGCTACTTCTATGGCGTGAACTCAAGAATGAGAACCAGAGACATTTACAAAATTCATGAATGTCTATGTTCTTAACTGGGACTCTTTTATCCAGTGGTAAATTTTGATGTGGAAAAACCATGATGGAATGATCTCATCTGCAATGCAGAGAGAATAGTTAGCATCCCTCTGTGTTTGGGCCAGTGTCCCCCACAGTCCAGTTCATCGCAGGAGTGAGGTGAAGGGAGAGGTCAGACTCTCCCTCTCTGCCCACAGTCTAATTCTGCTGATCGGGTGGAAAGAAAAGTGGGTGGGGAAAATATTTTGATTGATTTCTGATATTTGAAAGCTTGAAATGAGCTTCCTCGCCAGCAGTGTGCAATAGGGAACTCAAGGTCGAATCAGAAAGTAAGTTAGTAAATGGGACAGATTGAAGGGTGAAAGAAAACACCTTGTGTTTTGGGTTGGTTGGAACTCTAGACTTTCATTGAATATGAAGGGTCTACAATGCAGTGCAGAAAGATTGACTTACTTGGAGAAAGCTGTTGAAGGACTTCTATTGAAGCTTAAAGGTTGAAATGCAGCCTTCATTGCAGAGACTATGACGCTAATGAAATAATCTCCTGGCTTGTAATGTTTCTGTGGGTCCACTTCACCCTGTTCCAAATTCAGGAGGCATTTGGCTTTGTGCATCCCCCAAGCTCCCCATGGCCACAGAAGCAGTGCAAAGAGAAGCAGCAGCACCATGATTTATGTTCCTGACTGAGACGTCTCTATTGCACATACGTTTGTAACAAAAAGGATGAGAAGAAGAGTTGGAAAAAACCAAAACCTCTTCCAAGACAGAAGCTCTAGATCCAGACCAAGTTCAGTCAAGGGAAACACACATAGTCTCTCCTTCCCTGAAATCAATCCTAGATTATCTCTATGTCCAGAGCCCCTGATGCACCCAACATTTGTGACATAGACTCCATTCAACATTGCTTTTGAATCTGGCACCATCACTGAAACATTTCTGACATGTTTGTGCTAAATTTTCTGAAAGGTTGCAGAAACGTCTCTATGGACTGAACATAAAGACAAGAAATAAATCACTGTGATTTAAATAATTGCAAGAGAGATGTCACCTCCCTGAACCCTGAACATGTCAGTAGACAGGTGTTCAAAGGGAGAATTCACAGATGTGGCTCTAAACTTTGATGATGCGCCAGTGAAATGGGCCCCAAATCTTTCCAGTAATACACCTTCAGAGAACTCAGGATGAAGACCGTCTTTTAGCTTGGCCATGATAGATGGCCAAAATCCATATATTAATATGGATTTAGTTTGGCATTTATTCTCGGAATATTTACTTATAGTTATTTAGGTAGGCGTGAATCCCATTTACAGGTGAGCAATTACCGCCTGTTTGGAGATAATCAAATGTGGGCAGTAGAAAAATTATTTCCTATCAATCTAACTAATTTTCATTGTGCCTCCCTTCAAATCCAGCAAATTCCAGAAAAGGAAGCCTTTGGCTCAGTATGAACTGCATCAGCATTTTGACTTTAGATCAAGGGTGGTCTTCAGATTATTTATTTATTTATTTATTTATTTATTTATTTATTTATTTATTTATTTATTTATTTATTTATTTATTTATTTATTTATTTATTTATTTATTTATTGGTTCAATTTATATGCCGCCCTTCTCTGGAGACTCAGGGCGGTTTACAATGCATTAAGCAATGGCCTTCATACTTTTGTATATACCTGCTTAGTAGGGCTTTCGGGCCCCCCTAAGAGGTGTTCTTTTTTATATAAAGTCAGTTTATTGCCCCCACAATCCGGGTCCTCATTTTACCTACCTCGAAAGGACGGAAGGCTGAGTCAACCTTGAGCCTGGTGAGATTTAAACTTGCAGTAATTGCAGGCAGCTGGTGCTAGTTAACAGCACTTTAGTCTGCTGCGCCACCAAGGCTCTTATAACTCTTTAGCCACGGGTTCACTACCGCGTTGCTGGGTGGGCATGGCCATGGTGGGCGTGGCCTAGTTGGCCACCTGCACCACAGCAGGGAAGGTGTTTTTCGCCATCCCCAGGCTCCAGAGGCTTTCCTTGAGCCTCCAGGATGGCAAAAACAGCTTCCCCCAGGTTCCCCTCCAGAGGACCTCTGGAGGCCGGAAACAGGCCCATTTCTGGACTTCCAGAACCTCCGGTAGGCCCATTTTTTGTCCTCTCAGACCCTCCATGCGGCCCCTGCACTTACCTGGAATGATGAATGGGCTGCATGGAGACTCCTGGGAGGGGCGGGATGGGGTGGGCCAGCCAGGGTGGTATTTGGGGGTTCACCGAACCCCGGCGATCCCCCAGGAGCCTATCCCTGCTTCAGATCCTGCAAATCTAATTCAACTCTTTTCTTGCTTTTCTTTTCTTTTCTTTTCTTTTCTTTTCTTTTCTTTTCTCTTCTCTTCTCTTCTCTTCTCTTTTCTTTTCTTTTCTTTTCTTTTCTTATAAAGCTGGACTAGCCATCTTTATATTTGCATTTATTTTGCAATAGGGCATTTTTATCCAAAAATTATATGTCAACATGGAAACCTCTAACACAATGATTTCAAATTCAGGGTCATTCAAAAATACAACACAGACTCACACAAAGAATCTTATTTGTATGCTCGAGAGCAAATGATAGTCAAACAAAGAAAAAGATTTAGTGCTTTTTTTCTTAATTTTGTTATTTTTAAAGAATAGTAATGCATTAAACTCTGTTTTTTGGAATTAGTAATTGATATTTTGAGGAACTTTCCAGAGTGGTGCGGTGGCCTAGAGGTGGAGCTCTCGTCTCACAATCAGGAGGCTGTGAGTTCGATCCTAGATAGAGGCAGATATTTCTCTCTCTGGGCACAATGAGAATATATCTGCTGAACAAAACTCCACATTGGTGATAGGAAGGGCATCTGGGCAGTATACACTCAGCTCCATTCAGTTGCCCAGACTCCATAGCAAGGGATTATGGGGTCATTAAAAGAGGAGGAGGAGGAGGAGGATTTTGAGGAACTTTCTACCCCAAATCCACTTAATATATTATTTTGACATGATGTTCTTTTGTATGCATATCAGGTCTCAGAAAATAGTGTAGAAATGAAGATTTATCCCAGCAGGCCAACACTCCAACAAGATGGAGAAGACCTGCACAACCATCATGGCCACTGCAAAAGACCGGCACACTGAAGATGATCAGATTGGTTTCATGGAAGGCCCAGACAGAGCCTTTGAGGAAAAAGCCACTACACAACAGAAGGCTGTCATTTAGCCCACAACTGTCTCATCAGGGTGACAGTATAGGTCAAAGTCAGAGAAGGGGGCAGAAGTTCCAAACTCAATGCTGCCTTCCTTTGAAGGAAAAGCCCCTATAAAACATAGGTCTGGCATTTAGCCATGGGCTCCATAATCATAACATCTCTTCAGGATGACAGAGTAGAAAAGAGGGCAGAAGTTCCAAACTAAATGCTGCATATGACAACTCTGAGAAGAAAACTAGACCATGTTGTGGTCCGCCAGCAGCCTGTGGAGCTAGCAGTAGAGTCGGACAGTGAGGAGGCTGGGGAGGAATATGGGCCAGTCCTGGAGTCTGGGGAAGGCCCGGACGAGGGCTCTGCGTCGGAGGCAGAGATGGGGCCAGGGCCATCTGGGAGTGATGCATGGACTCCGGAGCCTCCAGAGTCGGACAGCAGAGAGGCAGAGGAACAGGAGGAGCCTGTTCCTAGTGCATGTATGCGCAGAGCTGCCAGAAGGATGACTCGGGAGTAAGGCCAGGAGATGATTGGCCCCTCCCATAAGGCTTACAAGAGCAGCAAAGGCTCTTGGGCTCTTTGTAGGAAAGCAACGTTGCTAAATCTGTTTCCAGTCAGCGTCTCTTGTTTCTGAACTTTGTGGGGCTTTGCCAAGCAAGGCCTTAGGCAGGGTGCCAAAGAAGATAAAGGTTTGTGATAAGCCCGAAGGACTTTTTCTGAAGGACTTATTTTGGAATTAATTTGGACTAAGCTGGGAATGAAGTAATTCTCAGCTGTTATAATAAAATAGTTTTGTTTGGGACTAATTGTGTCTTGTAATGACTAAGTGAGCCTAGGTCACAACAAACCAGAACTATTTGTGTTACATTTAAATCCCCTTTCAAATCAATTTCAGACACATCCATTGCAGCCCCATCTTGTTTTATAACTTCATTAGAACACGTGCTGTCAATTTTATCAAGCATTTGACCCATTTTGTCCAAAAGCTTGGCTGAGAAGGATTCAAAAGTTTCCACTAGGATTTCTGCTCCATTTTCTCAATCTTCTGGCTCTTGTGTCCAGCATTCAAGGTCTTATTAGAACAATCAAACAATTGTCATTCCAAATCCTTCCAGCCACTTAATCCATAGTTAACTTTCCAAAATCCATATAGCAAGCATCTTTTTGCTTTATTGTCTCGCCAAAATTATAGTGTTTAAAACTTTTAAAATCAAATGTACATTATCACCTATCAAGGAAGTGGAAATTCCCCTGATCAATATAGTAAAAACTTGTCGCTCCAAAGGGCTTTAATCTCTCCAATATACAAAAGAAAAAAGAAAAAAGTCCAAAATGTGATTAAGAAATTAGGCTCCATCAATCTTAATGTCTATAAAACGGCTTCGCAACTATGAACTTGATATAGGGCACTCCAATCGTAATCCAATCCTATAAATTCCGAATTCGATCTGGTAGGATGGTTGTGGGCCAGGTCCTGTCAGCCAGGGAATGTCAATTGGTAGTGACCAGGAGGTGTACCTTTTCTGCCATAGCACCAACCTTCTGGAACATTCTCCCTGTGGAGATTTGGATAGTCCCCACTCTGTTAGTTTTTTTGGAAGATCTTGAAAACCTAGTTATGTGTCTGGAACTGGAATTCCAGTGTGTGAAGGACTCCATTTCCTGGTTAAGCATATATGTATGGATTATAATATTTTGGGCTGCTTTATTTATTTATTTATTTTTCTTTTTCTATTGTGTTAAATTGATTTTTTTTATTGTTTACCATCCAGAGTTACTTGTTGAAATGGGTGTCAAAACTGGGATGGTCACGAATGAACAAATGAATGAATGAACGATAAAATATGAGAATTGGGACCTGGCTGATTCTGAAATCACTTAGAAAAGTGATGCTTGGAAATTTAGAAAGCAGGGACCCGTAAATTTCAAGTTAATGATCAATCAGAATGATACTTCAGAAATGGAAATATTTCATTACAGTAGTCCAGGCTCCTGCCTGGACTACTGTAATGCTCTCTACATGGGCTCCCCTTGAGGAGCACCTGGAAGCTCCAACTGGTTCAGAGTACAGCCACGCAGGTGGTTATGGGAGCGACATGGCGTTCCCATGTAACACCTCTCCTTCGCGAGCTACACTGGCTCCCGGTGGTCTTCCGAGTGCGCTTCAAGGTTTTGGTTACCACCTTTAGAGCGCTCCATGGTTTAGGACCTGGGTACTTATGGGACCGCCTTCTGCCACCAGTAGCCTCTCACCAGTCAGGATGCTCACATAGAGAGGGCTCTTCAGGGTGCCGTCGGCCAAACAGTATCGACTGGCGGCCCCCAGGGGGAGAGCCTTCTCTGTGCGGGCACCTGCCATCTGGAATGAGCTCCCCCCTGAGATACGAAGGATACTGGATTTATGCACCTTCCGCCGTGCCCTC